TGTACTGGCATCTCATTCAAAACGAGTAAAAAGTGATAGTCTTCTCACACACTGTCGCTTCTAGTGAAAATGCTATTCACTCGAAAGAATAAATGTTTCACTCAAGCGTATCGAAAACTTGACTATTCAGAATGAAGAGTTCGCTCTGTGTGAAACAACAAATTAGGTCGAATTTAAGTGACACTTAACGGGGAAAATATTGTAATAAAAATTACAACACAATTTTGTGTGATCTTGAATCGTACAGAATTATGACCGAAATTATTAAACTTGTTTAAAAAAATTAAAAAATGTTACATACATTTTTACTACAAAATTGCAATTGAATTTTTCAATATTGTATATCAGATAGATTGTCAAATGTACTGTTTTTATAGTAATTTATATTACAATTTCAGTATAGACTTCAGCTTTACAAAAAAATTTGCAAAAAGAAATATAATTTGAGCGTGATTCTTACTACAATATCTTCTTTGTGTACTCTTCATTGAGTGAAATTTTATTTCAAGAAATTTAGATAGTAATAACCATCCGCGTAGAATTACTTGATTGCTGATTAATCGGGGCGTTCCGACGTCAGGCGCTTGCGCCGTCTTGGAGGGTTGTTCTTGTTCCAGCGACTGGGGAGAAATCGCAAAAGCATGACACATCACGACCATACCGGAATATCCCCGATACGTCGAACTGCCGAACAGCCCATAAAAGACCCATTTCCCCTTTTCGCTAATCACTACACAAGCTTAACAATCTCCTGTAATTCACCTAATCGCAAACTGTATCATAATGACTACCATCGGCGGGACCGTGGCAGGCAAGCAGGCAGACTAGTAGGCAGAGGCAGACGGGCAGGAAGTAATCAGGGCCTTCGTTATCAGGGAATACTTCTGACAAAAAGGTGACTGAAATCCGGTAGGCGTGTAGATCGCGTCGGGGATTACCGGAAGTGTCGATCTTCGCGCGGCGAACGCGCCTTAGGCGCCCATGGAACATCACCGACCAACCTGTCTTGGCCATGTCTCCCGACGCGAGAAAGATAGAGAGAGAGAGAGAGAGGGGGGGGGGG